ATTCTTTCTGTGAGTCGACCCTTAGAAACACACACACACACACACACACACACACACACACACACCCACACACACACACACACACACACACACACACACACACACACGTGTATCTATGGAGGATCAGTTCCAACCCCGCCCCCAGCAGCGGATGCTGAGAAATGTGGATGATATTGAACCCTGTTTTAATAGTGATTGCTCTACATAGCATGCTCTCTGCCTCCCTCTAATGGCCAGTTCTGGCAACTTCAGCTTTAGAAATATACCTTTCTAGGATTTTTCTTTCAATACTATTTTATACCATGGATAAGTGAATCAGCAGATAAGGGGGTCCTGCTATACTAATGCACACATGGCTGTGTAGGTACACGTCTGCGTGGGCAAAAGATCAGCCTGTTCTCATGCTGGATCTCTGGTCTTCCTTCCCGCCTCCAGATCCACCCAGATGGGGTAGCCGGGGTCCCTATGGGCAAGGCGGAGGAGCGACGCCGACCGCCGGAGGAGGACTAAACTGTGAGGCTGAGCGATGGCCAGCTTTCTGCAGCTCCTGCTGGCCTGGTTGGGGGGCTGTGGCTGTGCAGGCCGGCTTGTCCCCCCCATCCAGGGAACCAAGGCAGGGCCTTTCCGGGGAAACATGTCTCAGCGTTGGGAACGGCCCCTCTTGAGGTCCCGCCGCAGCTGGGTCTGGAACCAGTTCTTTGTCATTGAGGAATATGCCGGACCGGAGCCTGTCCTCATTGGGAGGGTGAGTAGCCCGAAATGATGGCCCCCATGATCCTGGCTTTGGCACATGAAGTGGAAAGGCACATGAAGTGGAAAGGAGATGGTATTCCAGACTTTTGCAAAGGTTTGATCCACCTGTGCCCGAGCCCTTTGTGGTTTTGTCTGTATTCATTCATTCATTCATTCATTCATTCAAGACTTTTGCAAAGGTTTGATCCACCTGTGCCCGAGCCCTTTGTGGTTTTGTCTGTATTCATTCATTCATTCATTCATTCATTCATTCAGTTAGTTATTTATTTATTATTTATACCCTACCCATCTAGACCAAAGTCTCCTCTGGGCGGCTAACAATAGAAATTGAATAAAAACAATATAATAAAGTAAAAAACAACAATAGCAATGTGGTTCAAGATGGGAAAAAGAAAATATATATATATTAAAGTGATGACAGAAGGGGAAAGCCTGCCTAAAGAGTCAGGTCTTAAGTTTGCTCTTTAAAAAACCCAGCGAAGGAGCCAGACAGATCTCCAGGGGCAGACTGTTCCAAAGTTGAGGGGCCACTGCCGAGAAGGCCCGGTTTCTTGTTCTTTCTCTCCGGGCCTCCCTCGGCGTTGGACCCCTCAGCTGGCCATCTTGGCTAGAACGAGTGATTCGGGTAGATCTAGGTGGGAGGAGGCGTTCCGCCAGATATCGAGGTCCTAAACCGTTTAGGGCTGTCTATGTCATCGTTAACACTTTGAAATCAATGTGGAAACAAACGGGCAGCCAATGCAAGGCAGCCAGAGTGGGGGAGATATGATGATGTTTTCTCGTCCCACTGATAAGTCTGGCCGCCGCATTCTGCACCATTTGGAGCTTCCACGTCAATCTCAAAGGTAGGCCCACGTAGAGCGCATTACAGTAGCCAGTAATCACTAAATAATCTTGTCCTCCTCCTCCTTCTCATCTTCTTATTTTCATGGCTCTCTCCTTCTTTCATATCTCCTTCTCTCAGCTTTTTCTTATGAACACCAGTTTTTCCAGACTTTTCATTTAGAAATTCTCAGACATTTCTACCCATTTCCTTCTATGCAACGTCTTCTCTGAATTAACTTTGGGGGTCGGTTGGAATCCGTTCAGGCTTGAATCAAAGGGGATGCCACTTAACGAGCACCAAACGTAGAATGGATGGTGCCAGCAATACGCCTCTCCCTTCAGCAATGGTCGAGTTAGGGGCAGGGGACCCTTGTATAGTTCAAAACACAGGCATAACTCCTTATGCCCCCAGAAAACATAACTGCAAAGCCTAAACAGTGGATTTGCACGGATGCACGCAGACAGAGAAAGAGAGAGAAATTGAGAGAGAGAGAGGAAAAAAAAAAACAATTCTATCAGGGTACTCTTTTATAGTATAGCAATGGCAATCCTCTCCATACAGTACCATGCATAATGAGCCTTAAAAGTCCTGATCGAGAGGATGACTTAGAAATGTTGGGGAGCAGGCAAGTCAACTGCTTTGACACCTTCGGTGTTGAACCCATAGGGTTCTACTTGGCCACAAAAACACCTCTTCTCCTCCCTCCCTTTTGTTCATGCTTGTTATCTGTTTTCTTGTCTCCTGGAGGAATGTTTACAACTTACCACCATGGATCACTGCACTGAGAGGTAACCAAATACCCAAGACTCTTAGAGCCAATGAATATTTAGTACTGTATGTTTTATTTGCGTCATTAGTATTTCATCCAGCATATCATTTTTCCCCCAAAGTAGACTTGTCCGCGAAAGCTCCCATTAAAATGTAATAGTCTTTAAGGTGCCACATGTTTTAGTCCTTTTGTTTCTTTGGATTTTGCGGATATTGAATATTTAGTTATTGAATGTTTATTTATGTATTGAAATGTTTATATATTTTTCTTTGTTTGTTTTTTAAAAAAATGTTCCATGTATTTCCATAGGCCACTTCTCTAACTCGTGCAATTCAAGGGACAGGTGTACTGTACTCATTTCTAACTGCCTCAACAAAGTCTCACCTGAATGGCAAACTCGATTAGAAAAGCAGCTGCAATCTGCTTTGCTTCTGAGTCTGCCATACTTCCCTGTTAATCAATTTAATAAGGCAGTGGAGGGGTTTTCTGTTCAGAAAGAGAGCTCCTAGCTAGTACCCGGGCAGGAGCAGGAAGTGGGAGAGGAGCTAGGCCTAGCTAGGCCCCACCCCTTCCTGTTAAGGCCCTTCTGCCCAGGTGAGCCACATTTTGTGGTCTGTCTCTCTCTTTTTTCTATGATGATAGCTTCACACAGATGTGGACCGTGGGGAAGGTCGCATCAAGTATGTGCTGACCGGAGAAGGGGCAGGCACTGTCTTTGTGATCGATGAAAAGACCGGCAACATCCATGTCACCAAGACCTTGGACCGAGAGGAGAAAGCCCAATACACGTTGCTGGCCCAGGCTGTAGATCGGGCATCCAACCGGCCGCTGGAACCGCCATCTGAATTCATTATCAAAGTCCAAGACATCAATGATAACCCACCAGTTTTCTTGCACGGTCCCTACCATGCCACCGTGCCCGAGATGAGCAACGTGGGTGAGTTGCAGTGGCATAGAGCTAGTTGGGGCTGGGGGGGGGGAATCCAGTCTATGAGCAACGTGGGTGAGTTGCAGTGGCATAAAGCGGAATCCAGTCTGCCCCACTGAGTTCCTTGCAGGGCTTTCTGCCCCTAGGTAAAGGTAAAGGTTCCCCTTGACAATTTTTGTCCAGTCGTGTTCGACTCTGGGGGGCGGTGCTCATCCCCGTTTCCAAGCCATAGAGCCAGCATTTGTCCAAAGACAATCTTCCGTGGTCACATGGCCAGTGCGACTTAGACACGGAACGCTGTTACCTTCCCACCAAGGTGGTCCCTATTTATCTACTTGCATTTGCATGCTTTCGAACCGCTAGGTTGGCGGGAGCTGGGACAAGTGATGGGAGCTCACTCCGTCGCGTGGATTCGATCTTACGACTGCTTGGTCTTCTGACCCTGCAGCACAGGCTTCTGCGGTTTAGCCTACAGTGCCACCACGTCCCTTAAGGTTTCTGCCCCTACCTTGCAGAAATCTTTGCAATGAGTGGGACTGAGGTTCAGGAGACCTTTTATCTGTTCTTTTTTTTTTTTTTACAAGCAGGAGGGTTGCTATTTATTTAAAGCTGTTTAGACAACAAAGAGACTTGTAACAGCTTTAAGGACTGACAAGTGTTATTTGACACAAACTTCTAAGGCCTCCAGCCCATTTTTCTTTCAGATACAAAGGACCAGACACAATGAAAGCTTCTGCTAAATGAAACGTGTTTTCCTCTTGTCTGTTCCTCAGTGATTCTCTTTTGTATCAGGCCTTCTCTCATCAGAATCTCTGCAGTTCTTTCATCTAAACGTGGGAAATATTTAGGCTGATTTCTAGGCAAATGGTTTCCAGAATTCCACAGTGAGAAACGGACATTGGCTTGTAGGATTTTGGGAAGGGAGGTTTCCATCTCTACCTTTCTCTCCCCAGCTTTGCAAAATATTTCTGTGAGAGACAGAGTGGGCCAGGCTCAGAAATTTTCTTCCCCTGGGTTGCATCTCTAGAAGTTTCTGATTTTGGTGTCCTTCTTCCCGGAAGTAAACGAGGACAGAGTTGTGATGCATGCAAAGCCATCTAACATATATCCTCCAAGAGTGGATAATGCCACCCAATATTCCCCCCCCCATTCTGCAGGTACATCTGTAATCCAGGTAACGGCCCACGATGCAGACGATCCAGCCTACGGAAACAGCGCCAAGCTGGTCTATACGGTACTCGAAGGGTTGCCGTTCTTCTCCGTCGACCCCCAGACGGGTACACAATGCGGAGGGCGGGGCAAATTTGTGATGGAGGGCAAGTGGGTTAAGTGTCGCCTTTATGGTTGAGGCCAAGAACAACTCAGTAGGGAAACCAAGGTTTTGTTTTTTTTACAGAACTGGGAAATGCCCCTTTTCCGAACTACAAATTCCAGTTCCCATGCTGTTAGATCCTCTGGAAAAAAGAATAAGGCCAGGAAGGGTGGGAGAAAGCAGGAAAAGAGGAAGACCCCAATACGAGATTGACTGATCTTCTAAAGGAATCCACAGGCTTGCGTTTACAAGAGCTGAGCAAGACATTTGTGGAGGGCAAGACATTTTAGAGATGGCTCATTCATAGGTTCGCCATATATAGAAAGCAACGTGACGGGGTATAACAACAACAACAAATGCAGGTGGAGGGATTGACAAGAGTTGTCATTTGACAAATAAAATTCGCCCCATCTCTGGGGATATAGACCCGCTTCTTCTTGCCTCCTGGGAGGACAAATGTAATCTCTGCTCTGATGCGTTTGGGAATGATAGATGGGCAGGCTAAGAGCCTAAAAATGCACTAATGATTGAGCACCATTCAAATGTGCTTGTGACTGCACTATGCAAGAAGTTTAAAAGTGCTTTGAAACGAGTGTCCATCCTCTGAGTTGTCTTGTCCTCCTGCCTGGCGCAGACCCTACGCACCCATCAGTTGCTAATTTTATGAAACTTTACAGTCATGTAAACCTACACACCGTGGAAGCTGTTCAAGTTGCCTTTTCATTTCCCAGTTCATAGCCCTGTCCAGCTGCGACTCTGGCTAGCTCTTCACACCCTTGGGTTTATTTCAATTTCCCCATCATTTTGGGGATGGGACTAAACTTAGAATTTGGGAAGTGCAAATGTCTAGCTATCATTTGTGAACGACACTTCTCACCCAGAGACAGAATGGCTGATAGCCATGCAAGCTTTGGGATTCTGGGAGTCGTAGGCTAAAAAAAGTAACTTTCCCCATCTTTGATATGTTCCGGATTCATCCATCGATGCTCCCATGGCACTCTCTCCTTCTAATGCTTCGTCCCCTTGCTCTCTCCATGGCGGCAGGCGTGATCCGGACGGCAACCCCCAATATGGACCGGGAAACACAGCAGGAATTTCTCGTGGTGGTACAGGCCAAAGACATGGGGGGACACGCTGGGGGGCTTTCAGGAAGCACAACCGTCACTGTCACACTTAGCGATGTCAACGACAACCCGCCCCGCTTCCCGCAGAGTAAGTTCCAAGTAGTTGGTTAGTAATTGGGCCTTAGTGGTTATCGTAAGATCGTCCCAGAGTGCAGGACATGTAATAATGGTCTCAAGCTATAGGATGCTAGATTTAGGCTGAATATTAGGAAAAACGTCTTAAGCGTTTGAGAAGTACAACAATGGAACCAAATAACCTTGGGAGGTGGTGAGCGCTCCAGTGCTGGAAGCGTTCAAGGGAAAATTGGACCACCCTCTGTCAGATATTGTTTGATTTGTATTCCTGCATTGAGCAGGGGGTTGGGCTCGATGGCTTCATAGGCCCCTTCCGACTCAAATATTCTAGGATTCTAAAGGAGTCGGTATATACCATATGTGTGAATGAGGAAAGAGGCCCTCCTAAACTAGTTTTAGATTTCACCAGAGGTCTGAGGTTGCTGAACGAAATGTGAAACAAAGTCAGATACCCAAGACTTTGGCGAATTTTGCAACTTGTAGACATTGATTTACTAATCTTAATGTTTTGGAACCTCATTACTTGCCTGAACCCCTTTTCCTGAGAACATCAATTCACCCTCCCCCCAGCCTTCACAGGCCATGCTTTTATGGCTTGCCACACTGAGAAAGCCCAGGAAATCCTCTACACAAAGCTGAGCCTTCTCGGTGGTGGCTCCATCTCTATGGGATGGACTTCCAGTAGAGCTAAGAGCTGCACATGGCCCTCTTCCCTGTCAGCCTTTAAGAGGATGTCAAGACAAGGCTGGCCACAGAAGCCTTTAAGGGTCTCCTCTTATGATCCTAGATATATTTATGCCACCTGTATTGCTTATTCTATTATTGATGATTTGTTATCGTTCTGCTATAAGAGTCTGAACGATCTTGCACGTAGACCTGGTGAATCAAGATGCTCAGGTTTAGCAAAATGTTGGAATGCAGTGCTACGGCTAAAATCCAGTATTAAGACGCAACTAGAACAGGCACATTGAATTGATGGGGAATTTGTTAACACTTACATAGGTTCCATTGATTCAGTGGGCCTTCTCTAGTCGCAACTTATTTCTGAATTCCAGCCTATAAGTAGGTGACTAGTAAGCTTCCGTGGAGTTGATCAGACAATTAGCGCTTTTTTCTACTCCTGGTGATCTTGACTGACAGCAGCTATTCAAGTTTTCAAGGAAGAACCTTAAAAAAATTCCTTCCTGGAAACACTGAAAAATGGGTTTTGGAACATCCTCTGCATGCCAGACAGATTTCTACACCCGCTTCTCCTTGAAGTCCGATTGAATTTCAACAGGCCTTTCTCTGACGTGAGCGGAGGTAGGGTTGTGACTTTAATTGGCTCTTAAAATGCCATTTTGGCAACAGCAATTAGTGCTTAGGATTGATTTTAATTGCCAATATAATGTTTTGATCTATAAAGCAGCGCTTAGCATTAGTAAGTATTTTAAATGTAGTAATACATACAAAGCTGTCTGGAGAGCTCAGTGGTTTAGGGCAGTGGTTCTTAACCTTTGTTACTCGGATGCTTTTGAACTGCAACTCCCAGAAACCCCAGTCAGGACAGCTGGTGGTGAAGGCTTCTGGGAGTTGCAGCCCAAAACTCCTGAGTAACCCACGGTTAAGAACCAGTGGTTTAGGGATCTGGCTGTAGCACCAGAGGTTGTAGAGGTTGGGGGTTCGATTCCCCCATGGCGCCTTCAGGGAGAAGAGCCAGCCTGGGTGGCCTTGGGCAAGCTGCACAGTCCCAGGGCTCCCCCAGAAGAAAGGAATGGTAAACCACTTCTGAGTCTTCACTACCTAGAAACCCCCTGGAAAAGGTTTCCCGTCAGTCAGAATCGACCCCACAGCATTGTTATTAGTATATACAAAATCACAAAGCTCATAAGTGCATAAAACAAGCCCTAGTAGGATTTTTCAGGAAGCTTGTAATATAAGCCCTACCCCAAAAATAAGCCCCAATTAAATGAAACCCTGCCCTCCGCCGTTGTGCAGTCAGAAGAAGATGACAGGACTGTCTTTGAATAAATATAAATGGTTGTAGAAGGAAAAATAATAATAAAACATCCCCTGAAAATAAGCCCTAATGCATCTTTTGGAGCAAAAATTAATATAAGACCCCATCTTATTTTTGGGGAAACACGGTATTTTCAGCCAACAGGGAACAGACCATAAATTAATGCTCCTTGCAAAAGGTGTTTTTAAGAGATGCGGGCCTGTAAAGGATACCAAAATGTTGATTGCGAGTTAATGCAAGCCCATGTGGCCGTGTAGCTCGGTGATTCTCAAAACCGGGCTAGGTGTTCTAGCCAACAAAACTGATCATCAGGACTTCTGATACTTGTAGTTCGAGAACAGCCATGGCCGCAAGCCCTCTGATTTTGATTTTTGTTTGTGTGGTTTGCCATAATGCCTCGCCAGTGTAACCAATGGGAGAGGGGGAGAATGGATGTTGTAGTCCAAAAACACCTAGGGGAGACACAGCCAGTTGTGTTGACTCTATAACATTCTCTTGTTGAGCCTCGCGGCATTCTGGATGTCACAAAGGAGAATGGGGACACACAAACACAAAGACGAGGCCTGAGGAACCTCACTTTTCAGGGAGGGGTGGTGGTGAGCAGGGCATCCCAGAATAATACAGCCCAAAGACTTCTTCCCTCCAACTATGAGAAAAGAAGTGGACGTTTCGTCTCTTTTGAGTGTTGCTGATTACGTGGCACAGAAATGCACTCCATCCACAAATATTAGCTTGTGTCTTGTTGTCTACATGGAGTTATTGGGGTCTTGAGTGGGCAGAATTCATAAGAAGAGAAGTGCCCTGAATTAAAGGTCACCAGTAATGCACAGAGAGGTGGGTGTAGGAGGTGCAGTTGCAGAATTAGTAAAGGTGGTGTTGTCCTATTCGTCATTCCAAGTATGTTTCCATGTGTTTCGCAGTGGCTGGTACCCACTGGGACTGGCAGGGCAGGCTGACAAATGGGAGGTGAGAGCAAAGTCAATGCCAGACGGAGTAAATTAGTTCCTCCTTTGTCTCCTCCCTTTGCCCCTGCAATGACACTGCAGCACAATTTCTTGGCATTTTAAGTTCTGAGTGAATTGAGGAATAAGTTCTCGCGCTCGTTTCGTAGGCTTCCGTACCTGCGTACTCTGTGGCCAAGTTTTGAATTTTTATTTAAGTTCCCTTAGCGGCGCAGTAGAGGTGCAGGAGATTCACGGAGCAGAATAGCTTCTCAGGCTCCCCAGATTGGGCCATCCCTTTTCTCCTCAACTGGCACTTACAGTCTCAATCACTCGCTCTGAGACAGGAATAGTAGAAAGGATAAATGCCATTTTCTTTACTTAACAGTTGTGAACTGATCAAACAGTAAACTGAATAAGGACTGTTTGCTTCCAACAGACTAGAGAGGGGAAAAAGCACGGAGCGGAGAGGTGGGGCTCACTTTGAAAATCTGAGGCAGGGAAGGAACAATTGGCTAGTGCTGGACTGATTGACAGTCACCACAGCCCAGAAAGGTCCCTCCCAGCCGCACCTTTTTTTTTTCCAGGCAGCATGCGAGGTTGCAAAAGCTCCCACCAGACATGTTAGCCCTTGACCTCTCCTGCACCTCTTGTCCAAGGAGATCAGCCTTTACTGCCTGCGTCTCTTCCTTTCCCTTGTGAACATACAGGTTCCTACCAGTTTTCTGTGGTGGAGACTGCACCGCCTGGCTCAGCAGTGGGGCGGTTGCGGGCACATGATCCCGACGAAGGGGAGAATGCCCTGCTTGCTTATAGCATCCTGGATGGAGGGGATGGAGCAGAAGCCTTTGCCATCCACACAGATTCACTGGGACAGGATGGCATCATCACCGTCAAAAAGGTTGGTTTCTTGTTCTCTCTGGACTCTGGAGTTCAGGGCCCCC